ATTGATGCTTTTAACACCTTTTCTTTGATTTAATTCATCAAATAAAAGCGTTTCTAATATAAGAATATTCTCCAATGAAATTCTTATTTTTAGACTAAGTAGAAAAAAAAATCTTTATCCTTGATTAACCGACGGATTTGTGCAAGTCAATTACAAATTTTTGTTCCTAAGTCAATATTCGATGATTCGTAAATGGTTTTACTATTTGCCATTCTTATAGTTTGTCATATTTGTGTGCGTTTTTTACGTCTATAAATTGCGACGATATTTGCTTAATCTTTGTAAGTAAAAATCATTGAAAAAAAGCCGATAAAGATGTTCTATTTGGGCCTTGTGCGGACGTTTCCGTATATGTATCTACTTAATATATAAAGCTGAGATTTTTGTAATGTTTTAATTTTACGTGTACTTTGTGTGTGTGTGTATATATATATATATATATATATATATATATATATATATATACGCCTGGCTAATTCTTAATGTCGAATCGTTTTAGAGTTTAATAAATTTGTGATTTCAGTATTGATTGCGAAACAGTATCCTCATTCTTTCTTTCATATACATTATGATGGGATTAGAGGACTCGGACGAGTCTTAAATCAAAACTTCTGATTGTTTCCTCATTGTTACTGGTTTTAATAGCTTCAAAATCTTAAATAAAAAGGTTGATTGCGTGCTTAATTTAATATAAACTTTTGTTGGGTTATTTTGCGAGATGTTAGTCTTACAGGACAAAGAACATATTGAATTAATAGATAAGTAAATACAAACCCAGTTTGCTGTGGTCAAAAAGATACTCTGTTGATACTTGAATATGCAAGCCTACATCCGGTAGGAATTCCCGTTTTTGGAAAGGGTTTCTTGCATCTGATGCAGATGGCAAATTTTAAGCACCTCTCATAGCGAAGTAATTAATTTATTTATTTTTAATGACAGCGCATTTGGAAAAGGATTTTTTTTTTAGTTTTCGCCATGATGAAAAATGTTTATACTGATTAGATTCCGTTCTTTTTTCCACTTATAATTGTGGTCTTGGGCTAATGCTAAGGCTTCGAACTTTCTATACAATAGTAATGAAGAAATAGAATCGTTGGCTTACCATGGCTCCGATCTTTGTATTCAGATGTAATAATATCGGCGCGTTCTTGACTAGTATCATAAAATATTAATCACAGTAACTAGTTATTTTTTTTCTCACTTTGTGTTGCCACAACTGACACTAAGGTGTCACTTTATGTGTAATTAATTGCAAGTATTTATCGACAAATTAGAGAGGGGGCTGCGACGGTACAAAATCACATTATTATTTACTGAAGAACAGGAAGGCGCCAGGGTAGAGCTTGGAATGTTTGGAACGAAATGTCGTATTTTTTCTTGTGGGTCAATATTCAGTTGAAAGGACAACTCATGGGAAATGGTGCTTTATTCATTTCCCTATAAATACCGAAACTTTTTTTTTTCTTTTAAAATATATATATATATATATATAGTGGGGGGATGGTATTAATGAGCATAGTTCGGCCTTAGAGTATTGGTCCGGCGACAGACGTTCAATGCCTCGTATTGCTTACATTGCAGAGAAATTTTATTTTTCCTTCAAAGTTGAAATGAGGAAGGAAGAAAAAATAACTGAAAATTCGTTTGAACGAAACGATTTGGTACTCTTCACTTTTTATTGTTTTATATTGAATTATCCTCTTTTCTGAATCTAGCTTACGGCCACATTACATTGTAACACCGATTCCCGTAGTTAAGCAACGGCTAATCATTACTTAGATGGGTGACCGCCTGAGAATATCGAGTGCTGTAAGCTTGGATGTGCGGGTGGTGTAATGGATAATGGCTTCGAATTATTAATCTGAGAGCGAAGTTTCAATTCCTGTTAGGTTCTTTATATTCACTTATGCCTAAATACTCTTGGGAAACCTCTTTAACCCTCTAGATTAGTGAAACTTGTATCACTAAAAAATTACAATGTAAAAATATTTTCTGGCTTTAAATAACTTGCAAAGGGGTGAAACCGTAAAATTTCTTTGGGAAGAAATAATTATAAAATCTAATGCTAAATAAACGAAAAGAAAAAATAGGGACCTCATTTTCCTTATGACCCAATACTATATCTTAATTAATTTTGGTGCAAGAGACTTTCTTTTAAGTTTTCCACATGACCCACCCGTGGGTCGTTGGAAAATTCCCAATATAAAAGGTATTACATTGACGCTAGTTCTAATTTTTTTATATTAAAAAAACATTTAATTTTTTGGTGAGAGCGGATGTAGTTCTCGTGTATCATGATCTAAGCAATCATAGCATAGCATCTCACTTCCGGTAATCTTGACAAAAAAGAATGGGTTGTATAAAATGGGTTTTCAGAGGTTTCCATCAAAAGCTAATGTTCATGATTTTAAAGTTTGGAAACCCTTAAAAGAAAAAAAAATTAAAAAGCATTTCCTTTTGCTGCCTAGAAACTAGTCTTCCTGATCATAATTTCGGACCATATTTTAACAGCAAGTTGAAACCATGTCAACCTTTCTCTTTAACGTACAGTTTTATATATCTCTTTAAGTGGGATCCGGTTTCTCATGTGTAAGATTTTTGCAATATCTGAAGAATAGATTTAATGCTGTAAAGTTTTTCAATACCCCCCCCGGTTAAGAACAGAGCCCATGACAATTGTTGAAGAAGCATATGGGACAGTTATTGTTTTTATTGAACAGAAAACCCTTAAAAGAAAAAAAAACTCTTGGGTTTATTTATTTTATTGATCCTCACCAAAAGCGGAGCTAACGGTCATAATTTTAAAGTACGGAAGCCTAAAAAGTAAAAGGTTAAGCTGCATTTTTTTTTTTTTTTTGGTTAGGGGGTCGGAAGAAAATGATGGTTCGTTAATCCCTCACCCAGAAAAGTAACCCTTTAAGTCTGGTTGTGGTGGGTAGGTACTAATAAGATAAACTTAACCTCTGGAAATATGTGCGATGAAAATTTTGATCTGGTCCGGACTAAAATAAAAAAAAAATGTTTTGTCCTACAGTGTTGATTTTTTTTTTTTTTCTTTTTTCAAAGTTTAGCCTTTTTCTACCTAAGATCAAAGTATAGTAATGCCGGATTGCCAACCTTGAGCTGGAACTAATTATACCCTCTGTTCTCCATAATGAAATTAAGCGGGAAAGGAACTGGGTTAAAGGAGGGGGAAGGAAAATCACGGAAGATAAAAAGGTAAGAAAAGAATTAAAAGAAAACCAGGTGTGTACGATGAACATGAGGCGGGAGCTGGCGACCAAAAAGAAAAAAGATGAAAGGGCATAGATTGTGATGGCTTTTTTTTTTTTTTCTTTTTTTTTTTTTTTAAGAAAAACTAATATTCAGCCAATAGAAGGTCCATGAGCCACTTAAAGTAGTGTTACTGAAAGTGGTTACTGTATAATCCATAAGTGTAAGAGGTAAGAAATACAGTTTGAAGATATGTAAGGAAACCCTAGACTCGAAGAAGTTAAGTTTGTAGTGACCGGTAAAACATTATCTTGAAAATCTGTTTTACAAGTAGCAGTTATTAGGAAGATTTTCGAATGGAACTTCCTTTTTTTCTAGGTCTCTCCAAAAACTTTCATATAAGTTTTTAATTGCGTTTTATAAAGAAATTAAAAAAAAATTGTCTTAAGAAAAAAAAAAAACTTTTAAGTTTTAAATGTTAAAATTCTGTATTAATGATTCTGTATTTTAGATGATATTACTAAATTAAACCTATATTTACTAATGGAAAAGTTTAATACAACTCGTCAAACACCATATTTTTAAAAGAATTTTAAATTTTTTTGTATGTGTATAAAAGTGTCCATTCTTCTAAGTACGGGCGACCCTACACAACATTATCAGAAAATAAGAGTGATAATTAATAGTAAATTTGAAGTAAACATGTAATAAAGCATTAGCTCAAATTTAGGAAAATATTGATTGCTTACAAAGTAATTAAAAAAGGCGAACACGCCGTTATCTTCAATTACGGTTGACATAGTCTCCGTAGAACAACATTAACCCTGTCAACTATTTACATTATTCGGACTATTGTCCTCATCTTTGTCGCCATACTTATCACAACGTTTTGTGATAAATATGGCGCCAAAGATGAGGACAATAGTCCGAATAATGTACATAGTGTACATAATACCTCATCTCGGAAATATAGACAGATTAACCCGGTCATCAAACTGTCAAAAAAGCTACTGTTGGTTTTAAAATATCAGAAATTAATTTTTTTTTTTTTCTAAGTAAAAAAAATATTTGTTTCAAATCAGATTAATTATACTTTAAATTAGCTAATATTCTTCAAATAAAGTTTCAGAAAAGTTATTTCATTTTTTGAAGATTTTTAATAGAGAATTACATTGCGGTAAACACAGGCTAAAAAAGTGCCGGTGCCAATAATCTATTTTAGAAAAAAAAATCCAGTCAATTTAAATTAGTTTTTGAATTTCAGAAAAATATTTTGGTTATTGGAAATATATTTAATCTATTAACTTGAAATTAAAACTAAAATAAAGTCTTCAAGAAAGACCTTTATTTTCATTAAAAAATATTTTAAACTTATCGCATCTTTCTTTCTTAGTAAGAAAAAAAATGCGATACCTAATAGCATACGAAGGGAACGGAGATGGTTAGTTCTATTAGTTCTAACCTTCACACTTTAGGAATGTAGCTTATTAGAACATTTGTCATAAAATTGAAAGGACAGAAAATGATTGTTTCGATAAAAACGAGGCCGATCAGCGAAAAGAAAAGGCAAAATAAGAACAGCTGCATAAAATAATAATGGCTAATCTTTGTCAACATCCGGGGAATATCCACAGGTTGAGCTAGTTTATTTTCGAACTCTGCTCGCAAACAGTTTCATATTAAATCTAGTTAAAGAACGCATATTAGACCTGTCGGTCCCTGTGTTCAATTTTACGCTTTCTGTATTCAATGAACATAACTATTTTTTTTTTTTTGTTTCCTTTCAGGAGTGGTGAAATGTTCCTCATCACCCGCTCTCTCTGACTCGTCCTGCAGTAGATATTCAGATGCTTTAGCTGGAGAACACCTGACCAAAAGGCTGTGCACTCAGGCGGCCCACAAGAGCAAAGGTATTTATTTGTGTGTTTGTTTTTTCATCCCCCACGTTGGTTGAGACTTACGGTCACATAATGTTGAAACACCGGTATCTGTACGATAACCGAAGTTAAGCAACATAGAGCCTGGTCAGTACCTAGCTGGTTGATCGCTTTGCTGTAAATCTTGGTTGTGCGAGTGGTGTAATGGATATAATCTCGCAATTGTTAATAGGAGAGCCGAGTTTCAATTCCCATTGGGTTTGTTATATTCACTTACGCGGAAACGACCTTGGAATAAGTATGTATCTACCTCTTGTTCCACCAGTTTTGGTTTAATTAATAAAACTTGTATCGCAAAAAAAAAAAAAAAAAAAAAAATCTAAAAATTTAATTCCTAGATTGAAATAACCTGCAAAGGGTTAATAAACCATAAAAAACGTGGCACGAGGCTGAAAGTATGGGGGCACCTAGTGAGAATGAACTTCCTTTTCAGTCGTAATTGATCTAGTGAGACGAGTAACCAGTACACCACGCCGAAGTGCCTATCAATCAAACGTGTATCACTAAACCATTATTATATCATCCCCACAAAAAAAAAAAATACAATTTAAAAATATTTTCTGGCTTTAAATAACCTGCAAATAGTTGATTAATCGATTTGTTTTCTACGACTTATCAATAAAATCTGTTGGTTGAGCGGCCATATTGATTATTTTAACACTAATCGACACTTGTGATAATTAGCATCCGAAATTATGGATTTTATACATTTGTTTGAACACTTGTTATTTGTGTCGCTGAAGATTTTTTTTTTTTTTCAGCTTTATAGACTAGAATTTTTTTGCAACACGCTAACGCGTGTTAAAATCCACACACAATTTAATATTGTTGAAGTTATTGCTGACCTTTTTATCGAGATTTACAAACTTCACGTTTCGTTCAATTTCGCAAACGAATCGATGAAATTTGAATTAGCCGATTTGTTTGGAAAAATACTTTGACAAAAATCCTATTTCACGGTTTAATAATTTCTTTAATTTTAAGATTTATTTTTTCCCTTTTTAATGGCGAAGAGTAAATTCTTAGGATATCTTGCTCTTGAGCATGCAACCGGATGGGCATGGAGTTAGCAACGAGATTAAGTGCCGTACGCGATCGACATTTGGGCGATCATGTTTATTTCTCTTCGTGACTGACAAGGCAGATTTTCCCGCACTCGGCTGTCATTTCTTTCTGTCGTAGACTGGTTGCCAGCCATAGATTCCGTCTATCTTGATATGAAACCCACAGTAACAATGGCTAATATTATTGAGAGCTGTGGGCTTCATACTCCTTAATGGAGTCTACGAAAAACGGTTACAAGACAATCCTCGCTTTCTACGAATCCGATTCAATTAGGTTTTTGCCTTTCATGAGTTTACTTAATTTTTATTGCTGCTTAAATTAAAACTAAAACTAAACAATGAAGATATTCCTTCTCTGTCTCGATTTGAACTCGCATTCTATATTCTAATAGCGTAAGGCGTACTTCAATTTTTATTAAATCCACTAGACTCTTGTCCGGTAGAAGTGACAGTCCTGATGAAGGCCAGAGGGCCCAACGACCGAAACGTTGTGATAACGGCAACAACGATAAGAAAAATAGTCTGTGTATAAATAATGGCAACTCCTCAATCCAGATACTCAAGATTTCAAAACTATTACCACTGAGCTATCGTTTTTTTTTTTTGTTTTTTTTTTTTAACAAAGTCAATGTATTTAAATTAAATCTGCCCGCGAATGTGACTTTTTTTTTTTTGTATTTCAAAAGATATTCCATTGTCATTGAATACATGTAAGAGAATTCAGTCGTAATGAAAACAATATAAGAAAGAATTTTGTGTGGGTAGAGCTAACAATAGATTTTTAACAAGGTTGGTATATTGTAAAATACAGGACTAACCCGAAATGTCAATACGTTTTAAGTAACTTTTGATAACTGAAAAATGTGTAATCCGTGATGCAGTCGAAAGCCATTATGATTCCTTACGAGACTAGGCAGGGTATCATTGAAACGAAAACTGCTGAAAATCTATCAAAGTTAACTGATCTGACAGTACCGCTGCGGAAATAACAGCTGTACTCCAAACAAGGTCTTTGCCAGGTGCTGACCCTGGGGTCAAGCATAATTTCGGGACATCAAGCATCATTACCATTTTCATGAACCGAGAAATGTTAATTCAGATCTTTCATCATTGAATTACTGCATTTGACGGCATTTTAGACAGTTTTTTTTTTTTTTCAGAGTTTATGTGTCTTATATGCAAAGTTAAAAATCTCCTGTAGGCAATTTCATCTATCTGAGTTATGATTTTATCTCAATCGGTCACGTCCACTTAACAAGACTCCATAATATTACTCGAATGAAATTATCATCATTATTATAACAACACAATACTAGCGACAGTAAGATCAATTTACCTGCCAATTAAAGACTAGTGTAAAAAAAAAAAAACTTAAATATAACGTTTAAAGGTGACATAAAAAAAGTGATTGGTAGGTCAGGGAATCGGGAAGTTTCTCGCAAAATTATAAGCAAGCCAGGAGATTATAAGAACGAAATATTTCTACAAATATTTTCATAACTATTGTTACGATGAGCTTTCCTTTTTGACATCTAGACTTCTTGAACTTAAGCGTAGTACTAGATTGGCAGCTAGGTCTCATTTTACTGCTGAAATTGTTGAATGCAACCGTAAGTTCTAATTCTATTTTAATAGTTTCTTTTCTCGCACATATCGTTTGTGGAACCCTCTTTTCCACCTTATCAGTCTATAAAAGAAAAAATGCAACATCAATCGCCATCTGTCTCCTTGAATCCTGTTCTTTTTATTCTCCTCAGTAACGTTTTCTCCGTTTTTCCTATTGTCCGTTAACTCTCAGTAAACTTTTATGTCTTAGTGCCTTTATCACGTTGCTATGGATGAAATGATTAAAAAAAAATTCAAAGCTTTGCATGAACAAAATTTTTTATATTACTGGTTTATGAAACTACAGTGTTTATAAATGCGCATAAAAACCTTAGTTGTTTAATATTTTTTCCTGGACCTGCCGCCTGCTGAAATGAGTGTGTTTAACATACCGCCAAATACGGAATTTGGTCAGCTGTCCAATGTCAAGGCGGTGAATGCCAACGTCCTATATTGACCTGAAATGACTGGAGATTATTTTGTTTTTTAATCCGAGAGCTCATGCCGACAAACAGTCCAAGAATTTGTTGATTGCCTTCCCGTGCAGATTGGTAAACCCTCTTTTCTGTCTAGTGTTAATAAAAATGACAATGCCCGGCATTCATTTTTCATTTTATACAATTGCGCAAGCGACACTCAAAGTAAGAGTTATTGAATGAAGTTATGGTAAGGGCGTAAATGTAGGAGGTGCTAAGAGGTGCATATTATGAGGATATGTAGGATAGATAACCTATTAAAGTCTAGGACCCACCGTTTACATTGTAGTGATTGAGAAATCATCATCTTGAGTATCTGTTCCACAATATGTCTCCTTACCAAAAGAATACGATTAGGATTGGTTATCGTCTTGTACGTGGCATGATAGGTTCTAGCCGGGAAGGTCTGAACTGGTGACACTAAGCAGTGTAATTCGTCTGAACACTTGCTATAGAGATAGCCTAGCAACGTTTTGCCTGTGGAGAAAGAGGTTGCAGGGTGGAAAGTAATTAATGACCTACAAGGCTTGCGTATTCGTTTTTTTTTTTTTTTCAATCTGTTAAGCTTCCGGTCATTAATTTTTCATTTTTGGTCTGATTTGACTCTTGTAAAACTACAGTATGATATTAGATGTCAGATGCTTTCTGAAACATGGAAAAGGTTGATCAAACCAAAAAGAACTCTATGGATTCTGGTGTCATCACAGCTAATCAGTTTCAGTGACATTCTTCTGAATTTTTTTTTTTTTTACTTTTTAACTTTCGGGACATGCGCAAGAAGGTACATCCCATTTCATTTAAAGATCTCTATTTATGGTTTTTCTCTATGTCGTCCGAACTTTCCTATAAGTTTATTGAAAGAATAGACATTTTTTATAAAGTTAAACTTGACAATCTACCAGCATCTGTCTATTTCTGACATGAGATATTGTAACTATTTACGCTATTTACATTTGTTCGGATTGTTGTCCTCATCTTTATTGTCACATTCACGAGGTTTCGACCGCAGTACACTCCAGCCTTCTTCAGAGGATATACATTGGAATTTCGAACCGAACCCTCAACGACACGTGACCCAAAAAGTTGTGAGTTCAGTGGTAGAACTACTCCTGGAAAATTGCCCCGATTAAGGAAAAAAAGAAGACTTAATAACTACTAACTCTAATTAGGCTCTTAATTTTATTTGTAATCCATTAAGAAGAAGAATTCAATAATAAATGCATAAGATTTATATCTTATACCACTAAAATTGCGAATTGTGGCAGTTGTCCTAAAACAAAGTTCGATACCTGGCCACATCAGAAGGGACAAAAATTTGGAAAGTTTTTGTTACTAAGGGGAATTAACAGAGACTGACATATCCAAGAGCATGGCACGTGGAATTAGAACTCTACCCCCCGCAGACTAAATAAAGGGTTCGGTTCGAAATTCCAACGTATATCATATTAAGAAGGTCGTAGTGTACAACGGCCGAAACGTCATGAATATGGCAACAAAGTTGAGGACAACAATCCAAACAATGTAAATAGTTGACAATCCCTACTTTGAATGTACAACATACAGACTGAACGTCGAACGTTGCTAATAATTTGCTTAATCATCAAATATTTAAGGTCATTAGCGTCAAAATTGTTATAATAATTGTTCTGATGAGCTTTCCCTCTTTAGTACTACGCTTTAATTCATGAAGTCGAGGTACCAGAGTGGCAGCTAGGTCTCATTTTATTCTTTCAATTGTTAGATATCAACATGAGTTCTATTCTAATAATTTCCTCTCAACATGAGTTCTATTCTAATAATTTCCTCTCTTGTATTTTTCGCCTCTTCA